TTGATCTCCTCCTCCATTTTAGATGTGATTAATCTATCTCTGTTACAGGGATATGTACCAAAGGCTTTCAAGGTTGCTGTAATTAAACCTTTAATTAAGAAACCGTCTCTTGACCCAGATAACTTGGTCAATTATAGACCTATATTCAATCTTCCTTTCTTATCTAAAATTCCTGAGAAAGTAGTCGTAAAAACAAGTGTGTGATGACTTTCAGAGTTTCAGCCTGGCTTTACAGCTCATCATAGCACTGAAACAGCTCTGGTGAAAGTCACTAATGATATTCTCATGGCCTCAGATAATGTACTTGTATCTGTGCTCGTCCTGTTGGATCTCAGTGCTGCATTTAACACAGTCAATCATAATATTCTTTTAGAAAGACTCGAACATTTTATAGGAATTAAAGGAACAGCACTAGACTGGTTTAAATCTTATCTATCTGATCGAATTCAGTTTGTTCATGTTAATGATAGATCTTCAACACGCTCAAAGGTTACCTGTGGAGTACCACAGGGATCAGTGCTAGGACCAATTCTCTTTACTTTATACATGCTCCCAATCGGTAGTTATTAGACAGCATGGAATTAATTTTCACCTTTATGCTGATGATACCCAGCTATATCTGTCTATAAATCCAGATGAAGCTAACCCATTATAATAGATTACAGGCATGTCTCAAAGACATAAAAACCTGGATGAGTCTTAACTTTCTGCTCCTGAATGCAGACAAAACAGAAGTTATATTCTTTGGACCAAAGTCTTTGAAAAATAAGCTGTTTAGTCAGTCACTTCATTTGGATGGGATTAAGCTGATTTCAGATCATAAAATTAAAAAAATCTTGGCGTTATTTAAACTAGTCCATGCATTTATTACTTCAAGGCTGGACTATTGTAATGTAATTCTTTACTATCAGGAAGTCCACAAACTGTAGTTAAAAGCCTTCGGCTATTCAAAAATGCTGCAGCCAGAGTTCTGATGAAAATTAAAAAGAGAGATCACATCTCTCCTATCCTTGCTTCGCTTTATTGGCTTCCTGTCAAGAATATAATTTAAAAGTCTTCTTCTCACATTTAAAGCCTTAAATGGCCAAGCTCCATCAGATATCAGAGATCTGATTGTTCCTTATGTTCCTAACAGAGCACTTTGCTCTCAATCTGCAGGTTTACTAGTGGTTCCTAGAATTTCGAAAAGTAGAATGAGAGGCAGATCATTTAGTTATCAGGCTCCTCTCCTGTGGAACCAACTACCAGTTTTATTCTGTAAGGCAGACACTTAAAACTTTTCTTAAATCTTTCTTTTTTGATAAAGGTTATAGTTAGAGTTATCCTAAGCTATCTCTATAGTTATGCTGCTATAGGCTTAGACTTCTGGAGGACATAGGGACCCCTATTTCTGCAGAATCTGTTNTTGAATTGAATAAACATTTATTGATGGAATTTTAATGCATTCTGAGTTATTCTCAAAACTCAAACCTCTGAGAGGTATGGAGTAATCAGCTAATTGGGAGCAGGTGTGGACAGAAGCAACTAGAAAGGATCTAAGGGGGGAAAAAAGGGGCAACAAAGAGTTACAACAGAAAACAACATGGCTTAACTGTGGCTAGAAAATAACTTAAATGGAGCTAAAGGTAAATAAAAATAACGACCACAAAATAAAGAACGACCAAGGGGAAAACTAGAGGATAAGGGAAAAGACTGGCGATAACTGAAGCCATGGAAAACATAACCTAAAGATAGCAGCAAGAATAACTACAAATAAAAGAGGACCAAGGAAATAATAAATACCAAAAAAAAAAAATAATTTAAATGATATAGCAACAAGAAATACAAGGGAAGCGTAAAACTAAAAATTCAAAAATGATATAAATCTTGAAAACAACAAAGAGTAACATAAAATAAAGCATGAGAACAAATAAAATGACGTAACATAACCAAAATGTTCAGAGAAGAAGATTATGACAGTCAAGGCAACAAAGAAAAAGTCAGATTTCACTCTTAAGGTTCACATATTTAAGTTTTTATTTTAATTTACACCATATGACACATTTAACTTTGAGCCCTCCTGTGCAGAGGAACTGTTTGTCTTAATACTCATAATAGACTGAGAGATGTGTTGACAATCTAATAAAAACTTTATTGTAGAGCTCTAAAAATGACTTTAACATCCAAAATTAATACTCAGATTGTTGGATTTGGACTGTTGAACTATTTTATTCTTTTATCCCGACACAAAACCTTTTGTTTTGTTTCATAATGCTATGGTGTTTTACATTTACCTTTTGAAGAGTGCTCAGTTGTGTTAATTGTCCTTGTAATTTGACAGGCTGCATTTTTACTTTTGGGTTGTTTGAAGCATAAATACAAAAGTTCATCATAAATTTATGATGGAGGTTGACAGATAAACCAACAGATGGAGACAAACCGAGCCAATAGATGTGAGAACATACCAATGGTTGTGGTGGGATTATGTACAGTAATTGAAAATATTTAATTGTTGGAATGATGAATTACATTGATAAATGAGTACAAGGACCAACATAGGGATAGATGGCACGACCTATTGATCAGCTCACAGATGGCAGTACAAACTTACAGTATGGCTTTATTGATTTATCCAATTCCATTTTGTTGTTTTTTTTTTTACAAAAATCCTTTTCCATTCCTTAAAAAAAATCTGTTCTTTTCTAGATTGTATGAAACCCTAAAATGTAATCATTCATGGGTGAACAGCCTTCTAGTTGGCATCTTCTGAGGCTTCTGCTTTTGCTCTGAAGAGGCATTTTAAGGTTAACACAAAATTGGCGGACTCAGTGCTTGATGAGCTTTTTGGCATTCCTCCCTAAAATGAGTCATGACTCACGGCCCACTACTGAATTAAACTGACAGCATGTCATGTGAGGGGTGTTGTCATCCATTAACGCTAAGTTTTGCCAACATGCCTACTTTTGACGCTGCCAGTCCAGGCTTAGAGCAATGACAGTTGCTTTTTTTCTTTTGAAGACTCTTCTTGGTCGATATTGGCAGTCAGGCAGAAGACAAAAAAATTACACAACATGCAGAAGAATTATGAAAAGGCCAAACTGAATTACTGTAATGCATACTCAAACTCAAGTCCTCGGGAGCCAGTGTGGTTCAAATTATAGATGTGTTCACTTTAACACAGCTGGATTAAATATTTAAGCCATTTGCAGGATAACTTGTTTGTACGCTGAGGATGAAAATTCAGCCATTTCATTCAAGTATGTTGGATTAGGAATATGTCTGACAGTTTCAGTATACTGGCACCCAAGGATTTATGTTTTACTTGTATTAAACTTCAATTCATTTTTTTTAACCCATCCACACTCAAATTTCCCTTAAGGTTTGTTCTACTGTTTTGTCAAAATGAAGCCAGATTTTGACTACAAATCCTGAAACACATCATCTAGTGAAATTGATCACGGTTGGAGCATTCTTACTTTGACAATGTCATTACAACATCATCAAACAATGGAAATTAATTTCTTATGGCCTTCATTTTAGCAACAAGTTCCTAATTTTTCAACACAATTTTTTGTCTTATCACTATATTGGATCTCATAACCATGTGGGTTAAGATGTTATTTTCAAGTTAGAATAATTATTTACATAATTCTAGTATTGCAAATAAAATAGTTTCCACATCCAAAAGCAGAATTAACTGATTGACTGACTGACTGACTGACTGACCTAAGATTACCTAGCGGAAGTGAACCTTCTTCAAGACTGACAGCTACGGACCCATCTGTATAGACATGTTATGATTTTGCTAAGTTGTTCACACACAGAAACTACTTTTAGGAGACTCAAAAAGTTTATTACAAATATAATAGGGTGACTGCAGGATGTGGAACAAAATGACAACAAAGGGTAAGTATAACGTTGTGAGGTACTAAAGTAATGGTTCCAGATTAATTGAGTGGTCAAGTTTTTTGCCGGTGGGGTCTTTAGAGTAGAAAAAAAAACTCCTCTTTGTTCCTCCCCAGACCAACTTGCATCATCAAACCATGTCTGGGAAGGAACAAGGGAGAATGGAGCTGCCAGCCAGAGTCTTGATACCAGAGTTTCTACGGGGGAATTGTAGAGAACTTGTTGGAGTCCAAGAGCTGTTAGCTGGAGCGGAATCCTATAGCTCATCAGAGTCTCCCCGAGAAGGTGAACACAAAGGAGTACTGGCAACAGGCTCCTCTTACAACAAAATCCAACATCCTCCATATCCACCCACTCCGTTCCAGACCACTTGCACAAAGCAACGGCTACAGCCTCCACGATTTCTCCCATCTTGCTCCGCTCCGACAACTTTGGAGCTCGAGGAGGGGCATGTGCAATATTACTTAATTCATAGGAAGAAAACATGCAGTAGTGAATGATTAATTT